ATATTAGAAAACGAAAACCAAAAACCAAAAACCAAAAAAATGGTACGTAAAATATGATGTGAAAAGCAGGCGATATATATTTCTAATCAAATATCACATGCACGACGTAGCTCATGTATTCAAGAGGATTTTCAAGTGAATTGTATGAGTCACATATTCGATAATGAGATTATTTAGTTTTTTTTTTTTTTGTTTTTTTAGTATTACTGACTCTGTTACAACTTACAATATAGTATCTGTTCATAACTACTTTATCAATCTACTGAAACATAAAAAGCCAATAGTCAGCGAACCTCCAATAGGGAAAAAATTTGGTATCAATGGACCACAAGGTCCTTGGTAAGAGCAGTTATATAATTAGTTTTCACTAGGGTATAAAAAATTATACTTGCACTAATGTATTCAACAATATTGTAATTATGTTAGGAGTAACTGTAATTAATAAATTATTTTAAGATGTTATTTAAAAAAAAAAAAAAACAACACAAAATGCGCTAAATATAGAAACATAAGAGTTCAAGTTAAAATCTCTCGCGTTAATTATAATTTTCTGAAGAAAATAATGTGTAAATATTTACAAGTTTAACAAATACAGAATCAAGTCTAAAAATACGCTCGTAAATTAAGTAGCCACTTTATTATCATTCATGGGGGTGTAGCTCATATGGTAGAGTGCTTGCTTCGCATGTGAGAGGCACAGGGTTCAATTCCCTGCACCTCCATATGGTCATTGAAATAGCATTTTGATTTTTATTTAATTCATGTTTTAAAAGCAATAGTATGCAAATGGGGATGTAGTTTAGTTGGTAAGGTGCTTTCTTAATTAGCATGCTAGAGGTATAAGGATTGATATCTTGCTTCTTTATTATTTGATTGTGTTGAATTTTTTTTCTCGCCAAAAATGATTTTGTGAGAAACTAAAAGAGTTGAGATGTTTGAAATTATACATACAGAGTTGAGATGTTATTAAGCTTTCAACTATTTCATGATCTCTTAGTAATAGGTCACATCTCAATATATATATATATATATATATATATATATATATATATATATATATATATATATATATATATATATATATATATATATATATATATATATATATATATATTTAACACTCCTAAAACCTGCAATAATATGAAGTTGCAAACAAATTAAAATGCATTGAAAATATAAGTAAAAAAAAAAAAAAAAAAAAAAAAAAGCAAACATCATTAATCATAGCAAACTATAGTAAGTCTTCATTGGATATGCATACCTTGAGTTTTTCACTTGTGAATTTTCTCTACCATTTCTCCATCTCTATTGCACTCATTCCAAATAGTTAATCGTTTGTATCTAAGTTGGCAAACTTATTAATAGGTAATTAAAAATATATATCTTTTAAAAAATTTATTTGATTAACACTTGAAAAGACGGGCTAACGAAAACTACCTTGGAGATGGGAGTTCCAAAAATAAACTAAAGCATTAATGGACAGATTAGAGAGGGAAGGTTATAGAGGATTTTGTTTTCTCTTATACCTTCAAAAAAATATCATTTCATCAAAATTAATTATAATTTTTTAAAGTAAATAATGTGTAAATAATCGCAAGTTCAACAAATATAGAATCAAGTCTAAACATTCAATTCGCTTATAAATTGAGTAGCCACTTTATTATTATTCATGGGGGTGTAGCTCATATGGTAGAGCGCTCGCTTCGCATGCGAGAGGCACAGGGTTCAATTCCCTGCACCTCCATATGTTCATTCAAAATTCATGTTTTAAAAGCCCTTATATTTCAAAGGGGATATAGCTCAGTTGGTACGCAAATTATGCTATGGAATCGTGTTCACCGAGAATGGTGAACACAAGGCAAAACGACGTCGTTTTTAGGCCAAAAAAAAAAATTTCGCGGATGTGGAGTTAACGGCGCGCGTTTGATCAAATTATGAATTTTCTGTTATGAGATTATGAATTTTATGAAAATTCATAATCGCATAACAGAAAATTCATAATCGAATAACAGAAAATTCATAATCGCATAACAGAAAATTCATAATCTCACAACTGAAAATTCATAATCTCATAACAGAAAATTCATAATCTCATAACAGAAAATTCATAATTTTATAACAGAAAATTCATAATCTCATGGTTCCAAAGTGAATGTGTAGGCATGGTTCCAAAGTGAATGTGCAGGCATGGTTCCAAAGTGAATGTGCAGGCATGGATTCATAATTTATGAATGTTCGTGATTTCGGACGGGAATATGTAGGCATGGTTCCAAAGTGAATGTGCAGGCATGAATTCATAATTTATGAATGTTCGAAATTATGAATGTAATGAAAATTCATAATCTCATAACAGAAAATTCATAATCGCATAACAGAAAATTCATAATCTCATAACTGAAAATTCATAATCTCATAACAAAAAATTCATAATCTTATAACAGAAAACTCATAATCTCATGGTTCCAAAGTGAATGTGTAGGCATGGTTCCAAAGTGAATGTGCAGGCATGGATTCATAATTTATGAATGTCCGTGATTTCGGACGGAAATGTGTAGGCATGGTTCCAAAATGAATGTGCAGGCATGAATTCATAATTTATGAATGTCCGAAATCTTTTTTCACCTCAAATTAAAGTGAAACCGCAAAATGTGAAAATAAAGAAGAAAATTCACGCAATTAATTAAGAAAAAAAAAAAAAAAAAAAAAGATAACGGTGTACTAACACCGTTGGAACCGTGTTCACCATGGCATAACGACCCTAGTTGGTAGGGTGCTTGCTTTGCATGCTAGAGGTATAAGGATTGTAGACTGAAAATTTCTCCGCTGGGAATAAAATCTGTGAATTGGAAAAGAGTCCAAATCAAATGGAATTGGATCCTATGTATTGGCTAGCTTTAATTGGGCCTTTATCACATATGAGTGTACTATATACTTTATGTAAGTCCACTTTCAATGCAATATGTCCCCTCTTCCCCTTCTTCTGTCTCATCATATATATATATATATATATGGATGATTGTATTGAGTTAATGTAATATTAGTAATTGAAACTTTCTTTCTTAGTATAAAGTTGCTTTTAAAAAAGTCAAATTAATAAGCATATCATGAAGGGTTTCAATCACCTTATCAAAAACTTTATAAGCAACCTTATGTGATTGGTCTAAAACTGCTTGAATTAACTAGGTTTTCACTTTTGGTGTTAATACCATATATGCCCTCTTAAGGGTATGCATGTATAAAAACTAAATACTCTCATTAACTAACATATTAATGTATCACTCACATGAAGATGTTATATAGTTAATTGCTGATTCTTCTTTTAAAAGGACGATGAATTTCTGACTCCAAGAGCTCTCAATTTCGATCCGACAGAGCATTTGAAAGGATATAAATTACGGTGACTTAATGACTCAACAAACAGAATCAAATGCCGATCGCACAAGAGATCAGCAAACAGGACCAAATGTCGGTCCGTATTTAATTGGTATATAAATCTGTTGTAACTTTAATTCTTTCTTTGTCATGAATTGCGAACAAATTACATGTTCTCGTTTCGGTCAACTACTGCGGCTCTACCCTTATTTAATTTCTTTCTTCTTATAAAGTACAAGAAAGAAAGTGAGAAACAAAGAAAAATTCAATGGCCATAGACAAAATGTATTGTCCATATATACAATCATTCAATAATTTCACTTGGATCCCTGAGGTATTAGATAATAACATTCCAACCTCTTGTTCGGAAATCACATGATTCACATCTAGCTAGGCCCCTTCCAAATGTTCAGCTTTTGTCAACGTACTGATCTGTTCATAAGTCATAACTATTTTCTTAACTTGCTGAAGCACAAATAATCAATATCGTTCTCATTGAGGTTCAAGAGCCATTTCGTATCACTAGACCATTAGGTCATTGACGCCTTATCTATTGATTTACTATCATTCTCTTATATAATTTCTATTCTCTTAGTCTCTTCAATTTTTAGTATTATTTCCATGATATCTCTAATCTATATCTTGAATAAGTTTATTGATTTACCCTATAATCAAAATACCAAGCTCATCAATAATTAATTTGAGCGACTTAAAAAAATAGTATTCAATTTTTATTTCAATCCAATTTTTGCCTATTCAAATCTAACATGAACAATCCAATAATAGAATGCAAAAATAATTAATATGAAAAATGAAACAATCAAACCTAACATTTAATAATTGGATAACATAGGATTCAAAATTTTTATCAATATTTCAAGATATTAAGAGAAGTGGGTAATTAAATATACGTATGCCCTTATAAGTCATTTTACATGTTAACTGTTAATCCTAAAAATATTTTTTTTTTATAAATTGTTGATCCTTTGGTCAAAATTGCTAACACAATCTGTTTAGGAATGACAATTTGTCCTATCCCTCTTGAAAAAAAATTTGGGGAGCGGGGACGCGGATACTCCTCCCTGAATATATATATATATATATATATATATATATATATATATATATATATATATATATATATATATATATATAAATTAATATTTAGGTTTTTAATTTTTTAAAATTAAAAATTATTCTAATTTAAGATTTTGACTAAAAATTGACTGGAGACAGGAATTTCCTGTTCCCACGAGAACGAGAATGAAGACTATTTTCAATTTTTCACCGAAAATGGGAACGAGGACGGGGTCAGAATTTTGGGAATAGGGGGTATACTCTCCGCCCCCGCCCCGCCCCGTTGTCATCCCTAAATCTGCTATCCGCTAGCGGATTGCAAATGTTAAACCAGGCCAATATTTCAAGAGATTAAAAAAAAGTGGGTAATTAAATAGTCCGTATAAGTTTAGGGGTCTATTCACAAATTGCAAAACGAGAGGAGGCAGAGTGAAATTATGTAGAACAATAATTTCAGTCCGTACTAGGATTGTAGTTGGAGAATTTGGAGCATACGGCGGAAGATATAAATATGAAAGCTTTTCAAAATATTTTTGTCGGGCCACCAATCTGAAGCTTCCCCTTTTTCTCCTTCTTCGCCGAAAATGCGTGGCACTTCGCGGCCACTTTCTCTCTCTACGCCTGTGGATATTCTATATTCTCATGTCTTTTTACGAAATTTCAACCCAATTTTACTACGCCTTCCGTATAGGTCCACTTCAATGCCTCTTATTATAGACTCTCCCTATTATAGTAATATAATTATAATTATTGTCTTAAATTTTACTTTTGCTATTCCTTTAATTGTTTTTAATATTATCCCCATTTATTGCTGCTCTTCCGCTACTGTTTCTTCATTTTTTAAGCATGATGGTGATGATTATGGTGATTATGATGCCCTTTTCAGAGGAAGAAACCGTATGAACTCAGCGGTGTCAAGATTCTGTATGAATTTTCTGATTTTCACTCTCTTGTTCCGTTTCTTTGGTCGGAATTTTTATTGGGTTTTCGAGTTTAAATACAATTTTTCTGATTTTCAAGGCTATCAAGATCGTTTCTGATCAAAGCCCTTGATTTTTTTTTTTTGGGGTTCTGGGTTCTGTTCCGTATATATTTGTAATTGTATACATAGAGAATTTTGGGTTTCAGTATAATAGGAAAGCTGACTCTGTTGCCTCTGAATCTTTCCATTGTTTCTGATCAAAACCCTAGGAATTTTTTTTGGGGTTTTGCTCTGGGATATATATATGTGGTGTGTGGAGAAGATTGGGCTCTCATTCATATAGGAATTCTTGAAATTTTGTTTCTTTAAATTGATCGTTAGGGTTTTGGATTCTTGGCTTGCCCTTACTCTAAGCCGCACATAAACATGATATACATATAAGTGAAGTGATTGGATGAAAATCAAGGTTGTGGGGAGGGTATGAATATGGATGATATGAGAGGGATGAAAAGGCTGGGTGAGGAAGTTGGAGGTAACTTGGAAATTAAGAAAGTAAGGGTAGGAGAAGTTGATGGGATTCTTGGGACTCTGAATGAAGTTAGGCTTCTGCAAGAGGTTGAGCCGGATATGGCGGCGGGTTTAGGAAATTTTTTGTCTGATAACCATTTTCTAGGGTTTGAAGAAACTGGGGTTGCTAAGGGGTTTGATGGAGGTTTTCGGGATGCAGGGGATATGACTGGTGATTTGATAAGAGGGGAAAGGATCGACAATGAGGTTGTGGTTGTTGGAGAAGATGATATGTATAGAGGAAAGGAGGTATCTTATAGTGGTTTACAACCGGTAAATAGTAATAATCAACTTACGGCAGAGAGGAGAGAGGGAGTAATTGACATATCATCTGATGACAGTGATGAAGAGGTAATAGTCCTGGGTGAAGCTAAAGGGAAGGGAAAACAAGTTGAGCAAATAAATTCGTATGAGAATTTTGGATATTTTAGTAATGTCTTGGGAGGAACGGAAATGGACTTGTTACATCTTCAGAATATAGATTCATTTGAAAGTTTCGATCTTGGGTTTGGAGGAATGGAGATGGACAGGTCACAGGCTGAGGAAATAAATCCATTTGAAAACTTTGGAAATTTTAATCTTGGCATTGGAGGAATGGAGATGCCAATGGACCGTGCTCTGCGTGGTGGAAATTCAGGGAGATATTCCATGGAAGAAAAAGGGAAAGCAAAAGTCGGTGATTCTTGGCTATCAATTGCCAGTGAGCCATTTCAAATGGATGTCCTATCTGAGGAACACGAATTTGGAATTCAGTACGATACTTCCTCGTCAATTCCATTTCAGTTTGAAACTATAGAGCTCGAGCAAACTGATGATCCCTTTTTGACAGCAGATCTTGGGCTTAGATTAGAGCAGGTTGCTGGATATGCAGACCTGGTAATGCCTCAGTATGAACTTCCCTTGATCGAACAACAAATTAATCAGGCCCCGGAGTTCGGGAGGGAGTGGGGTGCTGGCAATGCTGCACAGCCAGTTAGACATCGTACAGTTTCGAGCCAGGTAGCCCAGCATTATGCACGGTTCAATTCCCAAGAAGCAGATACCGGTTTGAAACAGAAGTCGCCATCCATAGAAATCGATGAACAACTAGGAAGCTCTCCCGGTCCCTTTTCTACAGCATTGAAGATAATCAGGGAGCGAAACCTGAAAAAGAACGCTCCGCTGCTGATTGGATGGAAACCGTCTCGAAATGCTGACTTTGATGGTTCTGCCCGCCCTGCTCCTTCTCTGCTGGATCTTTCTTTGAAAATCCTTGTACAAAATGCTGAATCTTTAGTTTCACTTGAGGGTGTCCCTGACACACTGAGGAAAAGACTTATGGACTTGCTATGTGATTCCAGGAGAATGAATACCCGAATGCTGAACCTCCTCTTAAAGGGATCTCCAACTGAGATCAGGATAAAGGACTGTTCATGGTTAACAGAAGACGGGTTTTCCAAATCATTCCGAGACCTTGATGGATCTAACTTGATGGTAAGTCAGAATTCTTTGCTTTTTTATTGTAAACTTGTTTTAATTGCTTGATCTAAAAGAGAGGGGTAGCAAAGAGAGAGGACTTAAAGGTGCCTCCTACAGTTAGGGCTTGCTCAGGACACCTCGTGGTCTGACCCCCCAAAAAAAAAAATTACATTTTTATAGATTCAAATATGCCTTTCTCATGCTATTCCCTGTCTTAATAGTATTGTCTAAGCTCTTATCTGGAACTTCAAGAAAGTCTTAGCTTTCTTTTTCTTCTAACTATCTCCCCGTACTTCCTCTAGAATGTGATGGTCTTATTTCCCATTCTTGATGTCTTGAAACAGGTCCTTCAGCTTGACATGTGTGGGCAAGGCTTGCTTGACCCTGTGTTGGGCGAAACCATAGCTCGATCTTCACATGGTTTGCCGAATTTGGGTATTCTATCACTAAGGGGCGCGTGTCGTTTATCTGATAGTGCATTGACATCACTCGTAGCTTCGGCGCCTTTACTGCAGTCAATAAATCTGGGACAGTGCTCTCTTCTCACACACAGCTGCATCGAAACTATCTCCAACTCACTGGGAGGACTTCTTAAGGAGCTCCACATCAACGAATGCCATAGTATAGATGCAATGTGTACTATCCCCGCATTGAAGAAGTTGAAATGTTTGGAAGTGTTATCAGTTGCTGGAATTCAGACTGTATGTGATCAGTTTGTTTGTGAAATCGTGAAAGAATGTGGTAAAAATCTGAAAGAGCTTGATTTGGCGGACTGCGAGTAAGTCCACAGCACATTGCTTCTTCAACTCGAAACTCTTCTAGTGTTTTCTTCGTTTATTAATAGCAATTTCACTTTGGCTGCAGGAAATTGAGTGATTATTCTATGAAGGTCATCGGAGATGGATGTGCGAATTTGTGTTCGTTAAATATCTCAAACTTACAGAGATTGACAGATGTGGGAATTCAGTTTCTCGCAAACGGTTGTCGATCAATTCAAAGACTCAATTTGCAGCGCAATGGCTTTAGGTCAGTTCTTACACACCAGACTATTGTAATATGTAATCTGGTTTAATATTTAAGGAATATTATATGAATACTTAGTGAGTTAGTGGCCTATCTATTAATTGGCAGCTGATTGTGTTATATTAATTGCTATTGTTTCCACTAATTTTCTGTTGATCGTTCATTACATGCTCAGTGATGATGCTCTTGCTGCATATTTGGAAGCTTCGGGACAGTGTTTGGAGGAACTTTCGCTTAATAATTGCTCCAAGGTAAAACTTGCGTGTCTTATAATACCCGTGCCAAGATTACATCTATACATAATGTCACGGGCATAGAGTCCGGCGGAGCACACAATGCCCGTGCGGCGTCCCGGGGCCCCTCATACCCCGCGGACCAGCCTTACCCTCATACGTGCCAATCTGGTTTCGCCCTGCCATGGGCTCATCAGGGAAGCGGCAATAGCTCCCGACCAGTTGTGCCCTTCGAATTGCATCAGTCCCCTTTATAGTCAAGTCCAAGACTAGCGACAGGCTCCACAAATTTAATCAGGTCGGCGTGCCTAATTCGGCCAGACCTTAGCGACTAAGGCAGAACAACCCTTAACGCTATCGACACCCCCTTCACCCATTTGGCATTTAACCAGCTGGCCGTTTCATTCTTTGGGTCTTAACACGGTCACGGAAAACAGTCCGTGCCAGGAAAAATGAAGAAACCGTTTTCTTTAATAATTTGTTTATTTTTTGGCTTAATTGTTGTCTGTGCCTGAAACGGTGGATGTTGTATGATATTTGTAGGTTAACCAAAATACTGCATCGTCACTCGCCAAATGTTCGAGAGCGTTAGTCTGCTTGGACCTATCATGGTGTCGCAGAATATCTGACGAGGCACTTGGACTCATCCTAGACAGCTGCCCCCTCAAGCTCGTTAAACTCTTTGGCTGCACACAGGTGAGCTTTAATAACGAGCAAGAGAAAGCTATCCTAGTAATTCTCGGTTAAGTTGTTAATACATATATAGATGTTGCGAGATAAGAAAAGGACATATATAGATGTATCAACTATTGTCACATTGCGTGTTGTCTGAAACGAGTCGTTTTTTGAGCAGATCACAGGCGCTTCCGTCAATGGGCACTCCAACTCTACTGTCCAGATTGTCGGGCTGAGGGGGACGCCCATATTACACAACATTAACAAGCTCGAACCCGAGGAAGTTTTCTTGCGCTATTCGCCTCTCCTGACATCTTCTGGTATCTGACAACTGCGATCATATGTATTATTCGAACATGATAGCGCATACGTTTTGTTGTCTGTTGGATTGGTTGGTTAAAATTGTTTTCTTTAGGCTTGATTGTTTCTGGTCATACAGAATGCTAACATGTATCACCAAAAGGATGAATATATTTTGATTGCAAGCCTATTTGTTTGCAGATAAACCTATGATCATATTGTTGATTTTCTGTGTCTGCCTAACATGTTTGGTCCATGGGAATAGCAGTGGCAAATTATGTTGTAGATCATGGTTCATATTCACTAATAAATCTTCATTTTTAGTATATTGAAGATTTATTTGTAGGTAAGTAGTGTACTTAAAAATTAATCTTCAATATACTAAAAATGAACATTCAAAAAATAACTATTTATATATCAAGTTGACTCGACTGATGTCATACTCTAAGGATATGGAGGTCAATGTCGACGGTTACAAGTGCCTGCTTCTTTGTGAGGCATTCGGATTGCACAGGGTGTTACGAAAAGAGATGTGATTTTTCTTATATAAATAGTTCAATTCTTGTCTTGTTGAGACATCTTTCGTCTCATTATTATACTTTATCAGTTTATCTTGTAATCACAGAGTAATTATTGACAAATATTACAAGTTCTTTGTCTTATTTCGAGTATTCCCTTTCATTTTATTCATTTAGCTATTTTTATTATTATTATGTTGGGGCTAATTAATTTGGACCTCTTGGTTAGTTTTCTACATAATTGGTACTTTCATTGAGTGTTTGGTATTCAAGCTTGAGTATGCTCACACTAATGTCTCTTTGACGGGTGACTAAAGCTAATCAATTTATTGTCAAGTGAGAGGTTACTCAAAGCAGATGGTTAAAATTAGATGTGGACGCTGCTATTAACAAAGGAAGGAGAATGATAGGTCTTGGTTTTATCCTCCAAGATGAGTTTGAGAATTTTATTGCAGCAAAAAGAATTCCCTAAAATGGGACCTTTCAAGTTTCAACCCATCGAAGCCCGAAGCTGAAGCCTTAGCAGTCCTAGAGGCATTGAGTTGAATCAAAGAAAAAGGCATGAATTTTTTTACAGCGGAATTTGATGGTTTGCCTGTTATCTAAAATCACAGATTAGATAGTGAGAATTTTTCTTTCGATTTACCAGTATTATATGCTAAAGAAATGTTGAGCTCTTTGGCTTAAGTTGATTTCTCTTTTGTTAAGTGACTTACAAACCGCGGCTACCCATTTAGTGGCTAGAGAATCTGTTTCTTTGTTAGGTTGTAGGATATGATCAATTCGGCCTCTTTCTTTTTTGTTAAATGTCTTTGTTTTAGTAATTTAGTAGGAATGTTGAAGAGGAGATGAGGGGTACAGTGTGTACTATACTGGGAGTGAATAGGGTTGAGGGGAGAGAGAATTACTTGGGACTACTTATGCTGGTGGGTAGAAACAAGAAGTAGATCTTCGACTTCTTAAAACAGAAAATTTTGAGCAGGATTGGGGGGGGGGGGGGGGGGGGGAATCGAGATTCCTGTGTAGAGCAGTGAGAGAGGTCCTCCTAAAATGCATTATACAAGCCATTCCATCCTATGCAATGGGGGTTTTCCTAATTCCTAAAGACATCATAAAGGAAATTGAGATTACCATGAATGATTTCTGGTGGAAAGGTGGTCACATTGAGAACAATATTGGCATTAAATGAAACTCTTGGAAGAAGTTGTGTGTACCAAAGGACTGGGGAGGAATTGGTTTTTGGAACCTAAGGAATTTTAACTTATCTATGCTCACTAAGAAATCTTGGAGACTTATCAACAATCCTCAATCCTTGGCGGCCAGAGTTTACAGAGCAAGATACTAATACCCCAATTCCACTTTCTTGGAGGCTCGTAGAGGTTCAAACCCATCATTCATTTGGAGTAGTCTAATGGAAACTCAGGACATTGTAAGGAAACATGAAGAGTTGGGAGGGAAAATTCCATCCACATATGGAATGACAAGTGGCTTCCTGATAATCTGAATCCAAAAGTTACATCTTTTCCTTTCTTGCTGATGGAGAATGCAACTATGAATACCTTGAAGGATCTTTCTGAGAACCATTGAGATGTGGAAACTGTTGGAGCAATTTTCAATGACAGAGATACAAAATTAATTCTGAAAATTCCTCTACCTTCTAATGACTCCCCGGACAAAGTAATTTGGTCACCCGATGAAGATGGTGTCTTTTCTGTCAAGAGCTGTTATAGAGCTCTCAATGGTGAACAGCCACATGAGGAGAAGGAACAATCGCCGCCATTCTAGAGATTAAAGCTTCCTCCAAAAGTCAAAATTTTCTTTTGGCAGATGTGTACTAACTGCCTTCCAACAAGAGACCTCCTTCGGAGGAGGAAAATTGATTGTGAAACCCTATGTCCATTGTGCTGCAATGAAGATGCGTCTATAGGGCACCTCTTTGTTACATGCAGGTATGTAGGAGCAATCCGGAGACATGCAAGGTACACTTTTCAGGCGGTACAAATCTGTTCATTCCGTGACTGGCTAAATGTTAACATGAAGCGGTTGAACACTGTGCAACTTGGTTACTTCATCATAACATGTTGGGATCTTTGGAAGCGACGAAATGACAAAGTCTGGAATAACAAAAATCCTCTACCTGCACCAGAGACACTGAAAAGAGCAAAATCCTTCTTGGATGATTAGAGGAAAGCAATGGATAGCCCACGGGCAGTGCAGACAGTGACAAGATGCGATGAGGGTAGCTAGACTAAACCACAACATGGTTTCCTCAAAGTGAATGTGGATGCGGCTATAAACAAGAACAGTGAAAGGATGAGTTTTGGATGTGTTATACGCAATGAAACTGGTCAGTTTATTGCTGCAAAGGAAATTTAGTGGATCGGCTTATACACTTCAAGAGAAGCCGAGGCAATTGCGAACCGGGAAGCCCTAAGCTGGATAAAGGAATTACATTTAGATAGGGTGTATGTGGAGACAGATTCTCTCAAAGTGGTTCAAAGCTTAAAACATAGTTAAGGGGAGTCTAATTTTAACTTAGTAATCAAGGATATCAAAAATCTACTGAGTTGTTTTTCTCATTTACTTTTATTGTTTTCAAAACGGTCAGCGAATCGGGCAGCTCATCTAGTAGCTAAGCAGTCCGTTTCTACACATTATGCGGAATGATTTTTTAACCCTCCTCCTATCTTTGTAATATCTTGTTTTCAGACTTTTATTAATCTATGAAAAAAAATTTTAAAAAAAAATTAATGAAATATTTTTCTCTTCATAAAAGAAAAAAAAAAAAAAAAACTCTAATTGTTTACCTAGCCCTCTAGTTTCTAAAGTTCTAAAATGAAGTCCTAATTCAAAACCCTCCGTGTCTCCCTCAGCTTCCCCATCCACCACCGTCAGGACCGCCGATCGCCACCCTCCAGCCTCGCCATCTACCGCCGACCTCCAAATCTGAAATCTCCGTATTCCGTAAGCAGACCTCCGTATGTGTTTGAAATTTTGTAGCCAAATCAAAATGAGATACGTGCTGTATGATTGTGTACCAGTTATTCATATTCAACACTTTTGAGTCTGAGAAGTCAATGCCATTTAAATAATGTTAGCTCCGGGTAGTGTTTTATGAATTTATGACTTATGAGCTCCTGTTGTTGTGCAATTTGAATTGAAGAGGATGATGAAATATACACACACACACATACTTTTTTGTTATTATTGTATTTTTTTTTTATTCAGAAAATTAAATGAAGAGATTAAATTTTGAATTTTTTATATGATGGAGGTTTAAGGCTTTGGCAATTTGGCGTTTGGCGTTTATATTCTGTGTTTCTAATGAATATATGAATGCATGAATACTCCATATAAATATATTTAGGAGACTTTTTAAAACTTTGTATTAAGTTTGTTCAGAGATATCTAGGCTAACTATTACATTACCTATTTGAGTTGGTGTTTTATTTCTTATTATTTTTTTTGAAGTTCTTTACATTTTTGATGGGTTAACCAAATGGCAGGTTATGGCGGGATGGGGGCCAGTCTGCCTTGCTAACTCGTTCCAACAGTATTAAGCACTAACTCCAGCAGAAACAGAAGTCAAGTTGCTTTTCGTGCGTGCAGAGGAGCGAGGACAATGCTCTGAAGATCATGTTGGCATCATCAAGAAATTCATGTTGTCAGTTTTCAAAATCCATGTTAAATGTTTCCAAACTTTGTCGGTAATGCTTCCACATTTCCTCAAAGATCCCTGCTGTTTCATGTATTATAGTGTCCTTGTGCTTTATCAGGGATTAGTATACTTGATTATTTAATGCTTCACTTTATGCAGGAAGCCTCATCTTTCTTCTAGCGTTTTCACGGATGGTGATCTCAGTCAATTGTTATTGAAAAGAACAATCAGTCATGTAGTAGACTCAATCTGGAGATGCTACTGGCCATTAAAATTCCATCCTGCATTCTCCTATGAGTCCCCTCCAGTCAATACATTATGTCAAAGATCGTTTGGGTTTCATTCGAAACCGTTAGAGGCTAGACAAATGCGTGATGTGTCAATTGAGCTGAAGACAGATAAAGATGTGGTGAGATTTTCGGTCAGTGAAGAGACACAGAAGGGTGGTTCACATGCAAAAGCTAAGAATGTAGGCAAAAAGATTAAAATGTCTAAAAGAGCTAAAGTGAATGAACTCAGGTTTTACAGATTGAAGGCAAAGAAGAAAATGAAATCGCCAAATCCTGAAGTTAGAATAAGATACAAGCTTGATAAGGTTGGTGGTAGTTGATCATATAAACATTCCAAGTACTATGTTTATGATGCCTATCAATAGCTGATTAATTAATTTCGCTACTATGGAATCGCTGACAATTTATGCTTTTTATGTTAGGCAAAACGAAAGGAGGTTTGGTTGATTGAGAAATTGAGAAAATTTGAGGTTCCCAAAGCGCCGGCTGAACCACATGACCCTGAAATTTTGACAGAAGAAGATCGCTTTTATTTGAAGCGCACTGGTGAGAAAAAGAAACATTATGTACCTGTTGGAAGACGAGGTGTATTTGGAGGTGTAGTTTTAAATATGCATCTTCACTGGAAAAAGCACGAAACAGTTAAGGTTGTTTGCAAGCCTTGCAAGCCAGGGCAAGTTCATGAATATGCTGCAGAGTTGGCACGCTTAAGTGGAGGCGTTGTTATTAACATCAAACCCGACAATACAATAATATTTTATCGAGGAAAGAATTACGCCCGACCAGATGTTTTATCCCCTCCAGATACCCTATCCAAAGCAAAGGTATTATTAGTTTCTCATTTCAAATTTCACATTTTAAACTAATTGTCAATTTCATTCTTAGCAATTCTGTTGAATGAACTCGCATATTCAGGCCTTGGAAAAGTATAAGTTGGAGCAATCACTAGAGCATACAAGTCAATTCATTGAGAAATTAGAGAAAGAGCTGGAAGACTACCATGAATACCTTGCTCAGAAGAGGGAAAGAGAGACTTTGAGGGATTTGGATGCTAATACTTGAAGGTATCCTATGCTTAACATGTTAAAGGTTAATATTCTGTTTGTTTATTGTACGGTGGTGCCAGTGAGTTTCTGTATCTTTCTCTATTATCATCCCAAAGTTAGATATATCAATTTTGAATATATAATACGGAGTATATGAGTTTGAACTTTGAAATATTTCAACAATTTGCAGTCCATGACTAGTTGGGGTAAATTTGACTTGAATATATCTTTCTCAATCAACTTCTGGAATTGCATATGTTCAGTATAGCACATACATAAATGCAGATCAGTGTTCTGAAGGTTTCGATTTGAACATCTGACTTGCTTTCAACTAGAATGTGTTGATATAGAATTGCCATTGTTCTTTCTTGTGTTCAAACTTCAAATAGATGCTTCATAATTATATCTGACATAAAGCTGGTTTGAAGCTCAGCAATGAAGCGGATACTCTTATTTTCTGCGCTGCTTGCCTGCCACGAGCAACATTTTACGACAGTTCACAGTTGCCATGTTGGAATAATCTAGGCATTGTGGCATCAATAGACAAAGTATCTGCTTGTTATAAGTTATAATCTGCATTTTTATTTTATATAAGAGTGCTCGAGTACTTGTTACTTGAAAGCTCCTTATGTTAAAGTTTTCCTGCTCCCGGTTTGAGCTCTGTACATTTGCAATCATGTTGCTATGTGTTATTCTCTAACCATTGATGTGAAACTGGCCTGGGCTATCATGTCCTACATAATAAATTAGAGAAGAATGATCAAAAGCCTTTACTAGTTTATACTTTCTACTGATTTGAGTGATTTCATTTCAACATGGTGTCTAATATCCTTTTACGAGCTTTCTTGTCTCTTTTACAAAGCACTCTCCATTACATTCCGCTCATTTGCATCAAAAGTGGCGAGCCTAATTGTCACGAAGGTTGATTCATCTGTAACTGATTTACAGCTCCTTTAGAGCCGGTACTGACCGAAACATGTTGACACTGTTGCAGATCTGCTAACGAGAAGGATCTCCAAGCCAAGCTCCGCTGAACAGAATACGGTGATGATGGCAGCGCGTTACCTTGGCACCCTTTAAACAGCGGGTTAAGGCGAGATATAGCCGGGGAAGATCTTAGAATAGTTTCATCGTTACTGCTGGCAGAGGAGCAGGTCATGGCTGTGGCCAAAGCCAACGACGTTTTGCTAAAGTTTGCTCCTTTCTTCGATATCCCACCACCACCATGATATCTGAATGGGGAGCTCTTGGCCTTGCCATTGCCATTGTTCTCCAGGTAAAGAGCACAAGCCAGTAGGTTTCTGCGTTTTCTTATGTAGGCGTTCTCGGGTTTCGCAAGCTCTTTGATTGATGAAGAGGATGACGCCTCGCGGAGAGTTGTGAATGACTTTGATCTGCCATTGTAGAATCTTGATATGCCTCGCCTGCTCATGGTAGCAGCAATACAGGAAATTAAATCATGTATACCTTCTTTTAGTTATTGTGATTATAATTATGGACAAAAGTAAAAACAAAAAATAATAAGCTCACATCCCGCATGGACAATTCAACTGGTCACTGAAGTAAAATTTATCACAAAAAATCAAAGATTAAGTTTCACTTGCAACAGTACGAGAGCAACCTCTCAAATTAGGGGTTCTTTGTGTGCAATAAGCAAAAATCAGTTAGCTTTTGTCAGAAAAAAAAAGCTCACAATACTCTTTTACATTTTCCATATCACAATATTGTCTTCTGTGTAGCATTTAATTCTAGTACTATAATTAATATTAATATTTTCTTAGTAAAAAGCAAAGAAATCTTAAATATTAAAAATAAATCTGGCAAAGAGATGCTCAGTTACAGTTCCTACCTAGTCCTAGTAACCCCACCTCGTGTTTTATTTTGAGACAAAATGGATAAGGACGAGCAAAAGCATGATTCACAGCTCATCACATAAATATTTCCCTTTATTTTATCCCAATCCAATTTTTTTTTATTCAAAAGTTGCTGTAGATAACATTTCTTCTTTCATGATACCCTTTTTTCTGCACTTCTTCATCTTTTTTACTTTAAAATTCATTTTTCTATGAATCCCCAGCCTCAAGAACTCAACGTTCCGACCCAACAGACTAACATAGAGATTAAACCAACTGAGCTGTCTATACGGATTCTTTTTACTTTAAAATTCATGATCTATAAACACAACCCATAATATAAATTCATCCCCTCTAAAATTATTATCTTCAAAACTCAAAAAAATTACAAAATTATTTATTCAACAAAATAAATTTATTTTTAAAAAAAGTACCTTATTGGCAAAGCTTCCTCGAGTGGGTGAATGGAATGGAAGGAAGGAGGTTTTAAAGGGCTCTGAACCTCTTCCGTATCATCTGATTTCTCCTCCAAAGATCCCTCAGATAAATCACTGTTTTTCCCAATAGAAGATGTGGAAGAGCTGCATGAATCATCCACACCGTCCATTTTTTCTCTCTTCTTCTCCTCATTAACATCTCCGAAAACCGCCTTTTTCTGATCACCCAACAAGAATCTCCGATCGCCCTGGAGAATCTCCGGCGGTGCCTCCACCACTGAGATGTAGGGAAACCCATGCACGTAGGGCGGCCCACGTGAAGAGCCGTCCAGCTCACCCTTCTTCACAACACTCACAGACATAATCTTCTTCAATTCCTCCGATCCTTTTACTTTTCTTCTACCTCAAAAATAATATAAAATATGTATATATGCACAGAAAATTAATAAATATTGTACACTGGAAAACTATAAAAGTAAGGATTCAGATGAAAGGTTGGTGGTATATGTATGGTAAGGAAGATCTGTATTGGCCATGGAAAAAGCTTAGATCTCTGAAATAGAGAGAAGGGGAAAGCAAAGGACGCATGTGTTCCTTTATATATATATATATATATATATATATATATATATATATATATATATATATATATATATATATATATATATATATATATATATATATATAAATATATAATATATATATAGAGAGAGAGAGAGAGAGAGAGGGGTGTTGTTAGTTGTTACAGTGTTACTATGAGAAATTGAGAACCACCTCCCTAAGTCTATGAGAATTAATTTGATGTATTAAAAATTAGATATATGAATGACATTAATTGAGAATTAAATACGCGTGTATGTATATAGAGGATTTTGAGTATGCGTATTAAGTATGGTGTTGTGTATAACATAGTGACACGCATAATATGTAAATATTATAATGCTCTATATGCCAGCAGGTTTTTAATTTCCCAATTAATCTTATCCATAGATCTATTTTTAATTGTGAATTGGTTCTCATAAACTCATGGGGACGGATGGTTCTCATCCGACCTCTCATATATATAGATACTGATTCAAATGTGGACAATGCTTCAATGCGGTCGATGCAAACAAAAATATACAACACTACAGTGTTCAGAAATTGTTATAATAATAATAATATTATTATTATATTTATTAAACCAAGTCTTAAGCACAAACATGGTAATGGAATACATGGGTGTACGTGCAGTGTGGCAACATTACGTGGAGTTGTGCAACCTTTATTTCCCTAATTTCATGGTTAATTAGTTTCTTCTTTCACTATAAATAGGATGTATTACTCATTTTAATTCATCAATCAAGTTATCTATTCCTCTCTCTCTCTCTCTCTCCTCAATATATATAAATATAATATATATATACATATTATATTTAATATAAATTATAGATATATTATATTATATTTAATATATATTATATTAAATATATTATATTTAATATATCTAACATTTGGTATCAGAGCCAGTCAACCTTTCAACCCCGAGATATTTCCCGTAGTGAAATATGGCTACAAATTTCAATATTGTATGGACGGGTCCCAAATTGGACGAGAAACTCGATTACAATTATTGGCAAATTATGATGTCCACACATTTGCAAGCTCAAAATCTTTGGAGCTTTGTTGATCCCGGTCTACCCGAAGGAGCTGATGCAGCCGCTATACGGCGAGATAAATTGGCCTTGGGTAAGATTCACCAAGGTGTTCATTATTCCATTTTTAGGCAATTAGCTCGTGCTCAAACAGCAAAACAAGCTTGGGACATCTTAAAGGTGTCACACAAAGGAGTCGATCGGGCACAGAAGTCTAAGTTGCAGTCGTTGAGAAGGTTGTACGATAATTGTGAGATGACCTCTACAGAAACAGTAGATGCGTATTTCACTCGTCTTATTGATATGGTGAATAAGATGAGGCTATATGGAGATACGATTGAAGATGGTGCAGTGGTTGAAAAAGTTCTTCGAACTATGCCGATGAAGTATGACCATGTGGTGGCTTCAATAACAGAGTCACACAAAACCGAGCTCTTATCAATTGCAGAGCTGAAAGGTATGGTAGAAAGTCATATTGACAGGATTGCGTCAAAATCGGAACCACTAGCAGAAGAAGCTTTGAAGAGTCAAGTCACCCTTAATGTGACTGGCACTAATCAAAGAGGTGGAGGATCTGGTAGAGGTCGTGGAAGAGGAAGAGGAGGTTCTAGTGGAAGAGGTCGTGGTAACTTCAACCAAGGAGGATGACGTGGTAACTCCAACCAAGGAAGAGGTGGAGGTAATACCAAACAAGGTAAATTTCCATTTCATTGCTACAATTGTGGCAAGTATGGGCACAAGATTGCAGATTGTTGGTATAATGAGGACAACAATCATGGAAATCAAGCAAACATTGCTGAAAACACTGCTGAAAAGTCTGGTGAGAGTTCTGAAACTTTACTTTTAGCCAGCGATAGTTTTTCTGCAGATAAGAACATATGGTTCTTGGATACTGGGTGTAGTAACCATATGTGTGGGAAGAAAGAATTGTTTTCTGAACTGGATGAATCAGTCCGGTCTGAAGTGACATTTGGCAACAAGTCAAAAGTGCCAATTTTGGGAAAAGGTAAAATCTCTATTCAGTTGAAGGATGGTACTCACAATTTTATATCCGATGTGTTCTATGTTCCTGAACTACACCAAAATTTGTTGAGTATGGGTCAGTTGTCAGAAAAAGGATATAAGATACATATTGCTCAGGGGTGTTGTACCATTGCAGATGCTAAGGGAGTCTTGATTGCAAAGGTAAATATGTCCCAGAATCGACTATTTCCTTTGAAAATTAAGCATACTCTCCTTGCTTGCTTTAATTCTGAAGTTTGTGATGATAATTGGTTATTGCATATGCGGTTTGGGCATTTTCATTTTTCTGGGTTAAACTATCTTGCGAGAAAGGAACTTGTTGCTGATTTACCTGTTGTGAATGTCCCTAATCGTATCTGTGAGATTTGTGTGATTGGGAAGAAGCATAGAGATCCCTTTCCCGTGGACAAGTCAAGGAGAGCCACAAAACAGTTGGAGATTGTTCACTCAGACCTGTGTTCGTTGGAGGTTCCCTCATATGGAAGTTGTAAGTACTTTATTACTTTCATTGATGATTTCAGTAGGAAAACATGGGTTTACTTTCTGAAGCAAAAGTCTGAAGCATGTGATGTTTCAAACAATTTAAGGCTTTTGTTGAAAAGCAGAGTGGTTATGAGATTAAAATCTTGAGAACTGATAGAAGTACAGAATATATTGCTTGTGATAATTTTCTGAAAGAAAAGGGTATTCAGCACCAAATGACAGCTAGATACACTCCACAACAAAACGGAGTGGCTGAGAGGAAGAATAGGTCAATCATGAATATGGTGAGGTGCATGTTGAAATCCAAGAATCTGCCTAAGCCTTTTTTGGCAGAAGCTGTTGCTTGTGTTGTCTATGTGTTGAATAGGTGTCCAACTAAAAGTGTGTGTGATAAGACACCCGAAGAAGCTTGGAGTGGGAGAAAACCCTCTATCAAATATCTCAAGGTTTTTGGATGTTTGGTCTATGCACATGTGCCAGATCCATTGAGAAAGAAGTTGGATGATAAAGGTGAGAAATGCATATTCATTGGTTATAGTGACGCTTCAAAGGCTTATAAACTATACAATCCTGAAACTAAAAAGGTTGTTATAAGTCGTGATGTCACTTTTGATGAATATGGTGCCTGGGATTGGTTAGCTAAAGATGAAAGTTCAGTTGTTATTCCTGTTGTTGAAAATATTGTTAAAGAGCAACCGATTCTAGATAATGTCCAGTCTCCTTCACAGCCAGAATCGTCAGTTTGACGATCTCAGCGCGAGCGCCACTTACCAGCTCGCTTGCAAGATTATGTTTTGGGTCATGATGATGACCTGTCTGATGAAGAGATTGTTCAATTTGCTCTCTTTGCAGATTGTGATCCTTTAACTTTTGAGGAGGCTGCTACAGAAACTCATTGGCTTAAGGCGATGGATGAGGAGATACGTGCCATTGAAAAGAATGGTACCTGGGAGTTAACAGATTTACCTCCTGGAAAGAAGCCAATTGGAGTGAAGTGGGTTTACAGAACGAAGTACAAGTCAAATGGAGAAATTGACCGTTTTAAGGCACGGTTAGTAGCAAAGGGTTACAAACAGAAACCAGGTATTGATTATTTTGAGGTTTTTGCTCCTGTAAGTAGACTTGATACAGTTCGAATGGTTATTTCTCTTGCTGCTCAAAATGATTGGAAACTGCATCAAATGGATGTCAAGTCTGCTTTTTTGAATGGTTTTCTTGAAGAAGAAATATATGTTGAGCAACCTGCAGGATTTCTGAAGAAGGGGAGGAAAATAAAGTGTACAGGTTGAGAAAAACCTTGTATGGCTTAAAGCAAGCGCCTAGGGCGTGGTATGGTTGCATTGACTCATATTTTGTTGAAAGTGGTTTTATGAGATGTCCTCATGAACACACTTTGTATGTCAAATGCACGGATTCTGGTGATATTGTTTTAATCTGTCTGTATGTTGATGATCTGATTTTTACTGGAAACAACTTGAAGCTAATCTCAGAATTCAGGGAGGCACTCATTAAGAGGTTTGAAATGACCGATATGGGCCTTATGTCTTACTTTCTTGGCCTTGAGGTTATTCAGATGGATGGTGGAATCTTTATTTCACAGAAGAAGTATGCTGCTGATATTTTGAAAAAGTTCAAAATGGAAAACTCCAAACCAGTTTCGACTCCGTTAGCTGAAAAGTTAAATGTGTCCAAAGATGAGTGTGGTAAGAATGTGAATGTTACAGCTTATAAAAGTTTAATTGGAAGTCTGAGGTATCCGGTGGCAACAAGGCCAGATATTTCTTTTGGAGTTGGAATACTTAGCAGATTCATGGAGGAGCCAAAAGAATCACATTGGGCTGCAGCAAAGCGAATTCTGATATATGTGAAAGGTACGAGTAATGATGGACTTTTTTACTCTACTAATGAAGCTGTGGAACTTGTTGGGTACACGGACAGTGATTGGGCTGGAGATATGGAGACCAGAAAAAGCACATCAGGATATGCCTTCTATCTTGGTTCAGCCATATTTTCTTGGTCGTCAAAGAAGCAGCAGATTGTAGCACTTTCAACAGCAAAAGCAGAATATATTGCAGCAGCAAACTGTGCTACTCAAGCAGTTTGGCTGAGGAGAATTTTGGAGTTCTTACAACACAAGCAGGAAGCATCTACAACTATTTTTTGTGACAACAAGACATCAATATCATTGTCTAAAAATCCAGTCTTTCATGGTCGCAGCAAACACATTGATATCAAGTATCACAAAATCAGAGAGTTGGTTGTTGAAAAACAAATCAACATTGAGTATTGTTCAAGTGAATGTCAAGTTGCAGATATCTTTACAAAATCGTTGAAGACGGAGACATTCCTTAAATTGAAGAAAGATATTGGAATGACCAATATATCCAAGGTTTAAAGGAGGCAATGTTATAATAATAATATTATTATTATTATATTTGTTAAACCAAGTCTTAAGCACA